GCACATACAATTGGTATGTACTGACTGTTATCGAAATATCTTGAGTGTCTGATGGGGGTTTGGAGAATGCCAACGTTGGTTTATCCATTGCCCCTCCTCCACCCTACCCCACTCATCTCATCCTCACGATTGCCTATCTCTATCTGACGACGCCTGATTAATTGGACAACGATAATTAATTCGAAGCTTCTCGACAGCCTTAACGACGTCGGGCGACGATCATTGTCCCAGACACTAATCCTCAGCCCGTTTAACGCCTCTCGGGATCGACCCCGGTTATATATATTCAATCATTCCGCAGACCTTCAATAATTCCCCTAAGAAAACTAACTTCTTTTTTTTTTTTTTGGGGGGGGGGGGGTGGGAGTCGATGATGATAGCGCTGGGTGTCTCATCAACATGTTGACTGTTTCATCATCAACATGTTGAAATTAACCGACTTATTAATTAATCAACTGTTGCATTTCAAAATCAACATGTTGATAACTTCGTAATCAGCATGTTGGAATTGTCAATATGTTGATTGTTTCAACATGCTTATAAAATACACGTCAACCTGACACCGCCGCCAGTATTGGAAGTAGTTCTAAAAATTTCGATATACTGAACTGAGATTCATCAGCGAGTTGATAAAATACGCCTTAAGGTATTGATAATTTCTCATATCAAGATGTTGAAATAATAAACACCTTGAGGCGTATTATCAACTGTTGATAAATTCACACATCAACACGTTGAAATTACAATGAATTGATGAAATATGTCTCGATCTGTTGATCATTTCAATATGTTGATGTGAGGAATTTTCAACCGTTCTCAAATTCTACCACATAATGATGACAAATCACGCATCGATCATTGTCCCTGTTGATTAACAGCGAAATGTTGAAATAGTCAACAAATCAAGAGGTCTTTCATCAACTGTTGATATTTCCCCAGATTAACACGTTGCCATCACCAAAAGTTAATAACACACGTCTCGGTGTGGGAAATTTTCAACATTTCCTAAATTTTGCCACATAAAGTTAACAAATTGCGCATCGATCATCGCCCCTGCAAATTAACCCGTGAAAAACGCGATTTTGTTTCGTTTAATTGATCCACCGAAAACCCCTTTCAACCCTCCGAAAAATACCACCAAAATTTTCCCTCTCCCAATATAGAAAGAAAAAAATTCACGAATTACACGTAACAATAATCTCTCCAATATTCTGAACCAGTCATGTCGACAAAGTGGTGCATTACTAGTGAAAAGGATTGCAAAATAATTAATCGTAACGCGCTAATGACGAGGGCTTTACTGGAGCAATACGTGTACATGAATGAGGTACTACCTTCCCCCCCCCCCTTTCCTCACCCAACCACCCCCCACGAACATAACCTACAGAATGATGCGAAGCTCATCTGGAATGCATTTCGCCCGGTTGAATTCGTCGATTGTCCAGTCGAGAATATATCGTCGCATTAACGTGCTGAAAAAAAAAATTATTTGGGAACTGGGGAAATGGTTCAATCGAATTTGGAAATGCAATTCGATGTTGCTCGCTGGTGGATCACCTTGTTATCGGCTACGATAACGATAACCCCCCTTTCCCTCCCTCTCACCCCTTCCACCTCTCACTCCTCTTCATTTTCCCTGGGATTCACGCGTACCGTGTGGAGGATTTACACGTTCCCCTGTAAATTCGTTAATTAACTAAGGTAATTGCTTCTGTATGGAGTGGATTGGGGTGAAGGGGAGAGGGGTGAATTTAGTGGATTTGAAACACGCGTCATTTGAATGCTGTATTGTTATAAATTAACAATTGACGGGTGTCTGTCAGAAGAAAATTGTCATTGAAAAAAAAAGTGATGTGGGGTTGATAAGGCAATAAATCCAATTGATAGATCGGGAAATGTATCATGTTGATGAATGACAAATCTACCAATCTGCTATCATTGATTTAAAAAATCGGAATGTGTTGATAAATCCCGGATTATGATATTGACAATTTCAACATGTTGACGTGGCAATCATCAACCGTTCACAGATTACCCCCCAAAATGTTGATAAATTAAGTATTAACTTATTACTAACATCAGCGTTGATAGAAAATATCAACATGTTATCAACATATTCATGTGAGCCACGTCAACAAATTGAATATTTAAACATGTTAATGAATTACTCATCCCCAGTTCTATCTCCATTACCGATCTATGTTTGAAAAATGTCAACACTTTGGGGTGGAGCTGATGAAGGGGTTGACAAGATACGCCTCAACTTGTTGACGTGACAATTATCAACCGTTGACAAGTTATCCCAAAAAATGTTGATAAATTAAGTCTCAACTTCTTACCAACATCAGCATTGATAGTTAAAAAAATACTGACATGTTATCAACCGAGTGATATGATAATGGTCAACATTTTTTCAACATAATAAATTTTTCCGAGTAAACCTCTAATTTACATGTTGAAAATGACTGATTTCAGTCAAAATACATCAAGCAAAATTGTATTTACACGCGAAAATTAATGCATACTCCCCCCTCCTTCCACTACTGCCTCTTTTACGGAAGGCATACTCTATGCATACATGCATGTTCAACACCTGAGGGAACAGAAGAGAGGCGACACTGGACCGCGCCAGGATGTTAAATTACAGCATTTAAATAATTTCATTTAATCTCCCACCAACTCTCCCAGAGTTCCGCTAGCCCCCTCCCCCTCCCCACCTCTTATCCTCTACATATCCTGCATGTCCTTTAACTGTTCCTCCACACACACACACACACATATATATATATATATATATATATATATATATATATATATATATACACACTTACTCGTTATACAAGAAACCCTCCGAACCGGATAACCCTCACCATCCGGACTCTAGAATATTTTACAACTAAATTAATGCGACACACAGTGTGCTCCCACCACCTACTGAGAGTGAATCCACGTGAAGGAGCGGAGATACCAGGAGTGGTGATACCCTGTTGCTTAATGGCTTTACGAGTCTGATAGGATCACCCTGTAATTATACTTTACGATGGGGGGGGGGGGAGGTGGAAAGAAGGTGGGTGGTTTTAGAAATGAGTGACATTGTACAAATTGTCGTTGGTAATCTGCACTGAAAAATATAAATTCCACCTCACGGTGTTGATAATTTCCATATGTTGATAGGAAAATTATCAACTGTTGATGAATACTTGATAGTTGATGAAGTATCTATCGAAATATTAATAAATACCGCAATAACTTATTTTTCACATCAAAGTTGATAGTTCGAAAAGTCAATGTCGTGATACATAACATCTGAAAGTGTTGATAATTTCAACTTATTGGTGAATTACGTATCAACCTATGAGTATTGATAACGGTGATAGAAGTTCCGTGAATTAGGGCGTATCGAAGTGCTCATCAAGGAATTTATAGATCCACCTCAAGGTGTTGATAATTTCAACATGTTGATGTTGAACTCATCAGCAGTTGATGGAATATATATATATTAAAATATTAATAAATTACCGATCAACCTCTTCTCGTTATTAGCATTGATAGTTTCGACCAATATACTGGTGTCGGAGTTATCAACATGTTGATAGAAAATGAACATCTTGACGGGCTGAAGAGGAATTCATCTAGAAATGAATAAAATACCCTCCAAGCTGTTGATTATTTCAACATGTTGATGTGGAAATCTTCAACGGAAGATGTTGATAATTTTATCCATAACTATTTTCATTTGTTTATAACTCTTCAACAAATGTAGATAGAAACATCATTTTTTCTTTTTTGAATTTGTGGGTCAATTTCCCTCGTTGTCCACTGCCATCATCACGATTCCCCTATCTCAATTATTTATACAAAAAAAATACTCGAAAAAAAACAGGATGAATATACTCCCCAGGGAAATTCCGCACGAGTAAATATATTTGATACACTCTAAAATGAAAATTCAGTGGAGGTTATTGGTTGTAAAACATAGAGAGAAGGTATGGACCATCTGCCCACGATATGAAACTTCCTGAACCCTAAAAATCCCCCACCCCACTCCCACTTTTTTCCCTTTTTTTTTACAAGAGGTGATGTCGAATCCGGTAATAAGTTTGCCAGTAGTGCCCCCCGCTCTTTTCCCTCTGTACCGGGTGTTCGTAAAGCGGGCGATAAAAATTCGTGCCGAGCCATGAAATTAACCGTGTCGACCTCTACCCCCTTCAGAATAAAAAAAAAGGGGAAAAAGTGAAACATAATATTTATATGGGGACTTGCATAAAATAAGGTTTCATTTTTTCGGAGATAAATTTGAAAGATTTCAATATTAGAATTTTTTTTCAGTATCCGCAGAATTTCTGTGCGGAAGTCAGCTAATTGGGGCTATTAATAGGGGACAGTTGGGGTCGATTTTGACCCCAGATTGAAATCACGAAGCAAATTAGATTGTTTTTTTATTTTTCAAAAATTTATTAGCCCACGGGCAACTCACCTCATTATCCAATTTGGCTGACTGCACACTGTCTACTATCACTACCAGATTTAAATGAGTTTCTTTACACTGACGGGTAATTACAAAGTGATTCCATCGCCGTGCTAAACTCATTAAGTCTCATTAGTCCCGGAGATAAAAGTTGAAAAGCCAAAAGAAAAAGTTGAATAGTGAAGAAACAATCTCAAATTTCAATTTTTCGCCCATCAAATGGGCAGGAAAATGACAAATTTTGAAAAAATTGCAGTGACCCATTTTGCCCCCTTGGTTTAAAGAACATCAAAAATATAAATTGCAATCAGCAAAAAAGTTTTTTTGTTTATGCCTCTGAAATGAGTGAAGCGGCACATATATTGTTTTTAATCCGATGGTAAATTTCCCCACCCATCCATTAAAAATGAAACGAATTCACTGACGTGACTCATTCGGCCAATGAGAATGAGCCCTGTTAGAATTAACCATAAACCAAGTTCCTGAATTCTTCATCGTCCCTAAACCATTTATATCCGTGTAATTCACTCACCGGAAATGCCGTCATAGGTCCACCACTCCTCCCAACTGGCTCTGGACTCTGTAAATCATAATGAAGAATTTATCCACCTGCTTTTATTATTTTTTCATTCTTATTTTTAAACATTTATTTCATTTTTATGCTTCTACGGGTAATATTTATGCACAAGAATTTGTCGTGTTATCTCGGTCCGGGCCGGTGGTTGTGCGCATGTCCGAGTGGAGTGAGAGCAGAGGGGTTGGAACGTCCACTGGCACGCGCCAAGTTTAATCTACTGCCTCCAATTTTTATGATATTAAAAGAATTCCGGTAATATTAAGAGGAGACAAAAATCTTAAATCATGGGATTTTCGCGTTTTCATAAATATCTCGGGAACCAATGGAGATGGAGCATCGAGTCGGGTGTCGTTGGTAAGCTAGGAAAATTTCCGATCCAAAAGCCATATTATGAGTCTATTTTTCTTGAGCAGTTCCGGAGATGCAAAGGAAAGTAGTTTTTCATGTCGAAGAAAACTCCCTTGAATGTTCACGAAACTGTCGTATGAAAATTCAGTCAATTGTAGCACATGGAATCGGAAATTTACTTAACTTTCCAACACATCTACCCCGACCCCCATATCTCCTCAACTTCTGGAGATAATCCGGTTTGTCTGTTTTCCAGTAAAAAATAACAACCCGAAAATACGTGAATGTGATTCGTTTAGCTTGTGTCTTCGATTTTCATGTCAATAACATGAAAGTAATCGATGAATATTGCGTTACAATTTTCAAATGGAGTGAATGAAGTTGCTGAATGCATCGAGGATTGAATTTACGGTCAATGGTTGGCTCAAGTTGATCAATAAAATTGACAATCTTGTAATTTGATGAAATATGAAGACACGATAGAGAGTTTATGTGAGGGTGGAACAGGGGGTGGAGATCGATAGAGGGTTTGACCCATGGCTTGGAATCTGTATGGCTCGAGGACATACGGTGAAGACCGCACGAGTGTGGCCAGACTGCTCGGCGAGTACTACATACCGGAACAACGTTCAACGGCTGCCATACAGTCTTCCATATGTGGCACTGTTTGAGAATGGAGTTTCTGGACTGAATTCTCAACTACATAACTGAAAGTCTGATTATTTCGTCATGCATACTCGGAATGTCATTTTTGTTCGCAATTTTGCGGGAGGTAAAGTCGACTTTTCTTTATTTCAATGAGTACGTCTTTTTGAAGAAATTAAATGCCCGAAGGACTGGATAAGAATAATTGGTTTGGGGTTGAGTTAGTGGTATTAGGGGGTCAAATGGAAAGTCTTTGGAGCGAGTAATGAAATATTTAGCACTGATTTCGAATGAAAATTCAGGTAGATGTTGGATTATGAGCAATTCAATCAAATTTCGAGCTATTTAATATAATCCGTTTTGATGACCTTTTCATAATTCTCTCCACTCGCGACGTGGATTTTTAATTAAAGATAATTAAGACGAATAGATTCTTGAAGACATCTTCAAGAAGAGATGAATCTCATATTTTTGATTTTGTTATAAAACATCAATGGGACGAGCAGACAAAAAGATGTGAGCATGTGGTGTGAACAGAAATTATGGCGCAAGATGCTTGAATATTTTAAGACGTCGAGAACTCATTCCACATGAAAAATCGCGGAGATATTCGATTGTGAGTGATTGTGAGTAAATTTCCAAAATCGCACAATCGAAATCCCATTTCTTACCTACTTCAGGAACAAATCAAGATAAACAGACTTTTGCCTGGTGTATGGAGACGGAAATGTCTCGAATTATTGATTGCTGGCATTCGATCTTCCCCTCCTCTCCTTATTACTCACGATATTTGGAAAAAAATAGCGACAACAGAACGACGAAAAATTATAGAAAATAAGAAAGAACAATAAAATAAACAAGTTTGATTCCTTGGGATGATTACACTACGAGTGAAATTCGCAAGGGTCTCAAGACCCCTTGATTACAGTAATTTTCCGTCCAGTCGTGCACTTGACCACATCGAGAATGGTATGCGGGTAATTTGACTAGAAAAAAAAGAAGCAGAAGCAAATTGAGACTGAAGGGGGAAAAAGGTGAAATGAAGTAACGAGGGTAATTGTCGTGTGTTTGTATTACTGGAGAATGGAAATGTGAAACGATTGAGGTTTTTCGTGGAATACCAGAGTGGGAGAAGTGCCACGTGCATGTTTGACCCACTTTAGTGGCAATTTGTGTTTTCCTATTACTCCACGGAATTTTTGGTATTCCCTGAAAACAAACACATCTAGAGTGTATATTATTTTTTCAAGGTCTTACTTGGGAGATTGTGAGATTGGTGTAGAGCTCAAGGTTTACAAGTGTATAACTAGATGAGATATGAACTCGATGATGAGCACAATTGTTATTGAGCGATGACTCATTCTCAAACATGACATTTCAACATTTTGCTAAATCGCTCATAATTACTCACAATCGAATGTCTCCGAGAATTTTGATGCAAAACGAGTGTTCGACGTTTCAAAACATTCAGAAATCTTGCGCCAAGATTTTCATTCAAACCACCTACTTGAGTCTGTTTCTTTGCGTCCGTCCAATCCATTTTTTTATAATAGAATAAAAAATACGATATTGGAATTTTTTTATAAGATGCTTAAGAATGAGTATTCTTTCTTTGACTACTCAAAAATCTATATCTGAGATAGAAAAAATTGTGAAGGGGACTAGCATCAACATATATTGCATTGAGTAGCTCGAAATTTCATCGATTGACTCATAATCACTCACAATCGAATATCTCTCTGAATTTTCAAGCGAAATGTACGCACTCTTTTCTCGTTCATTCCTTCTTTTATAGAGCAAAAATAAATGTGAAAAAAATAATCTTTTGCTCACAATTCCCTAAAAAATAAAAAACACGGATAATTTTCCCTCCTAATTCGATTGTAAACTATCCACCGAAAATTGAATAGCTCTCTCGCTCTGAGAAAGAGCCCCCGAAAAACCCTCAATTTGATTCCACTGTTTTTTCCCCATTCCCAATGTGAGAAAACTTTTCTAATTTAACGCAATTACAGTCTGTAATGGAGTAGGGTTAGGATACGGGTTTGTGAGGATGGTGGAAGGGGTTATGTGGGTCGAGAGGTAGTGTCGCAGGCGGTGAATATCCGGTCAGCCGCATCGGCCAGTGGAACGTTGGTCCGAGTGCCGCAAATTGACATTTGCGGCATTGAGATCATCATTTTTAGAATATCTGTGGCTATTTTCCGCCTTAATTTACTCACCAAATTTCAATCCCTGAACATGAAAAAAAAATCTCTCATAAAAAATCGAGATCTGCAATGTTGTTACGACCAAAAAATTACTTATAATTGCAGATTTTCATCACGATGTTTAAGAGTTGATTAACGTCTGGACGAGCTAATTATGTTGTTCCTGTCGGCCACGGAAAACGGAAAATAAAAATATTCGCAAAAATGTTCAATTGTTTCTCCGTAAAATTCCCCTCCGGTGGGGGGCGAAAGAAGGGGGAAGCACTCGTGTGTAATGACCCCTTGGCAATTTGCAACCTTACTTTTAAAACCGTCCTCGGTTCATAGATCTCGGGGAAAACAACGTCCAAGTGGCCTCATAACGAATTCATGTATGCACGACATTATGGGCGGGGGGAACAAAGAGAAAATCACTAGAAAAAATTTGTAAGAGGGAATCACTTAAAAAATGCATATTGATGATGTAAAAATATGGCGAGTTTAGTTACCCCCAGATTTTACAGAATTTCGATGAATTCAAGTCCGTTGAAAAATTATGCAAGTTGAGATTTAGCCTTCACGTTGAAAAATGTGGGCCAAACATATTAATTTTGGTCCACATACATTTTCAAAAAAAATTCCTTTGGTCCACATTTATTTCTTGCCTGGAAGGAATGCCTCAACACTCCGTCAACATTAACAAGCGCCATTCAAATATTGGTCTAGAAGACTCGAACAATAGGGGCACAATGTCGGATCAGTCATGATCATTAGCTCACACGAAAAAAAATGTGGCTCAAAAAAAAATTTATATACTTTCATAATAAAAAGAATATGAATCTTCGGTTCACACAGTTACACGATTATATCATTAGTATTATATTTCCGCAGTGTACGTATCATTATATTGGACTACTGGGGAAATATATTGAATTTTGGTCCATATACATTTTCAAAAAAAAATATTTCTTTGGTCCACTCTTATTTCTTGCCTGGAAGGAATGCCTCAACACTCCGTCAACATTAACAAGCACCATTCAAATATTGGCCCAGAAGACTCGAACAATAGTGACATAATGTCAGATCAGGCATGATCATCAACTCCCCAAAAAAACATTATGTGGGCCAAAAAAAAAAATCATACAATGAAAAAAATATAAATCAGCGGTCTATATCTCACGATTATAAAAATAGTATTTTATCCCCATAATGGACGTATCATTATATTTTATGACGGGAGCAATACATGAAATTTTGGGCCACATGTGGGTGTCAATGAGGAACAAAAATTGTCAGCCACAATTTCATTATTTTTTATTTTACCATTCCAATTGATTTAAACACGCCGTTTGAAGTATTCAGAAATCACAGGTGGGATTAAACAGTAAAAAAAACAAAGATCCCGGAATTTGGACAGCTAAACAACACGTGTGGAAGCACAAAAGCCGCGCAATCACGCTCGAGCGAGCTGACATTTTCCAGTCGATCGGAAACGACTATCGTTTTAAACAAACGCACGAACGTACAGCAATACACAATCGTTGGTAATCAATTTGTGGTTTGTTCTGTGTTATTCCAAGTATTTTAAATATTTATTCAACTCCACATTCTCGATCTCTCACCCTCATTTCCCCTTCCCCTTGGACTGAAAAAATTGAAACTATATCTTGGAAAGATTTTTACAATGACGTATTCAAATTCGAATTCTAACTAACTTATAAAAAATGCCCAGAAAAATTTTCTTTGAATCTAATAAAGATCTTTATTTCAATTTTTTTACTTGTTTCAAATGAAAGGATTTAATTATATCAAATAAACAAT